TGAAGATACAGAATTAAATAGCATATAAAAAAGAATAAGAGATCATGATCAAATGGCATTAATTACAGAAATTCAAAGAAAGTGTGTTAGGAAATATATTAATATAATTCACTGTGTTCAAAGAAAAAAGTAACACAGTCATATCCGTAGATGTAAAAAACGACCTATTCAATAATCTGTCAAAATCACAATTCTTAAGAGAACAAGAGTAGATTAAGTCTTTTCAATTTCTCCTAAATTTATTTATAAATTTAACATGATTACAATTAACATATGTCCAGCCTGGGCAGTATAGTGTGACCCCATCTCTACCAAAAAAAAAAAAAAAAAAAAAAAAAAAGCTGGCTCACATCTGTAGTCATAGCTACTTGGAGGCTGAGGCAGGAGTCTGAAGTACAGTGAGCCATGATCATGCCACTGCACTCCAGTCTGAGTGACAGACAGGGACTGTCTCAAATAATAAAATAAAATAAAATAAAACCAGTAATATTTTTAGAATTAGAAAGCTAACTTTAAAGTTCATCTGGAATAATACACATTTGAGATTAATCAAAAACATGCGAAAGTGAGTACAAAAGAAGGACACTTAACACATATTATACAGTTAAAGCAAATAAAAATAGTGTGGTGCCATCACATAAACAGACAGATGGATGTAACAGAAAGTCCAGAAATACGCCTAAGTATATATAGGAATTTTGTTCATGCTACATCAGATATTTTAGGTCAGTGGAAAAATGATCAATTATTCAATAAATGTTTTGAGACGATTAGATGACCATCTAGAAAAAAATCAGGATCTCTATCAAACTCTTTCCATTAAAAAAATTCCAGGTGGACTAAAGGTGCAAGCAAGAAAAAAATCTACAATATTTCTAAAAAAATCAAATCTGAGAGAAGGGAAGACATCTTTAAAGCATAATGGAAGACTCAGATACTGTAAGAGATACTGTAAGATTGGCAATGTAAATATCAGAAATTTCTGCATGACAAGAAAACTTCTGTTGAAGTTAAAAAGCAACTGACAAACTAGAAAAGAAATACACAATATGTATCACAATGGTTAATCTGTTAAATATATAAAAGCTCCTACACATAACATTTTTTATAATATAAATTATCCAAAAGAAAAATGAGCAAATGGTATAAAAAAAAATCCCTAGAAAAGCTTACCCAAATGTTCCTACACACAATGAAAAATACCTCACTTAAAATCAGTGAAATACCATTTTCACCATTTTGTTCTTGGCATACAATGTTTTCTTATGTTTAGCTTAATAATTAAATAATTTTTAAGAATTTATTGTGAATTACGTGTTGTATCTTCAGGTGGTGTTTAATCAACCCATTATTTTATGTTTTTTAATGTGTGGCTTTCTATCTGTAATATGACCAGGCTGGATGCAGGGTACTTCGTAGACAAGGCTTTTTGGGGGGAAAACTGTATCTCACATGTTAACAATGCAGGATCATGTGTATGCGTGTGTGTGTGTGTGTGTGTGTGTGTGTGTGTGTGTGTGTGTGACTTCAGCAGAATCTTTTTCTTCTTACTCTCACATTTAGACTTTAGGTGGGGTTGGAGCCCCTGCATAGAGTCCGTACTGGGGCACTGCCTAGTGGAGCTATGAGAAGAGTGCCAGTGTCCTCCAGAGTCTACCAGGATGGAAGATCCACTGAGAGCATGCACCGTGCACCTGGAAAAGCCGCAGACGCTCAATGCCAGCCTATGCAAGCAGCCAAGAGGGTTGGGGGGGGCTATACCCTGCAAAGGCAATAGGAGCAGAGCTGCCCAAGACCATGGGAACCCACTCTTGCACCAGTGTAACTTGGATGTGAGTCATGGAATCAAAGAAGATCATTTGGGAACTTTAAGATTTGACTGCCCTGCTAGATTTTGGACTTGCATGGGGCCTGTAGCTCCTCTGCTTTGGCTAACGTCTCCCATTTGGAATGGCTGTATTTATCCGATGCCTGTACCCCCATTGTATCTAGGAAGTAACTAACTTGCTTTTGATTTTACAGGCTCATAGGCAGAAGGGACTTGCCATGTTTCAGATGAGACTTTGGACTGTGGACTTTTGAGATAATGCTGAAAAATGAGTTAACATGTTGGGGGACTGCTGGGAAGCATGATTATTTTTGAAATGTGAGAATGTGAGATTTGGCAGGGGCCAGGGGAGGAATAATATAGTTTGGCTCTGCATGGTTTTATCGGGGGTTTCTTCTTTTGCATCTTCCTCATTCTCTCTTTTCCTGCTACCATCCGTGTAAGATGGGACTTGTTCCTCCTCTACTTCCGCCATGATTGTGAGGCTTCCCCAGCCACATGGAACTGTTAAGTCCAATTAAACCTCTTTCTTTATAAATTGCCCAGCTCAGGTATGTCTTTATCTGCAGTGTGAAAATGGACTAATACAATCAATTGGTACCAGTAAAGTGGGGCGCTGCTGAAAAGATACCTGAAAATGTTTTTCTCAAAAGATCAATATTTTATATTTTAATTATTTTAAAAGCTTTCCTCTAGGTTGTCTCTGGACAGTTTTTAAAATGACTAAGGCTAATGGGTGCTCCCTCACTTCTGTGTGAAAAATAATTTTGGTTTATGAATTACGTTTGTGAATTGTTTCACACCGAAGGGCATAGAGTTGAAAAGAAACTTTTGGATTCACTTGGTGTGTTCCCCGATTTCCAATAGGAATGTGACTAAACCATCACATTTCTGAATTGGTGTATTATTTTAATATCAAAAATCTGTAGAAAAGAAATTCCAAAACTTTCATTTGTATTAATTCAGTTTTGGGTTTCATAACTCTGGCTGTTGGGAAAATGTCCAATTTCCTTAAAGATATAGGCTTCCAACACAGCCAGTACCCTTACCTTTATCAAGGCAAACCTAAGTTAAATAGCCTAGAGAGTAGGGATCTCATCTTCAAATCTTACAGATAACACTTTTCACAGAACATTGCAGACAGTAGATGCCAAATAAAGGTAGACATCAATTAAACTGAAGAGCAGGGGAAATGTTGCTGGGTAGCAAAGGGCATCACTGGCTTGAGGCTTCATTTCTGTGTCTCTCTCATCTCCTGACATGAACACTTGGATTCTGTTAAAAGCATTTATTCAGAACAAAAACAATACTGACTTTTCTATGAAGATCATTCAGTGATTCATTCAACAAATATTTATGGTGCATGTGCCAGGCACTGTCCCAGGTTCTGAATATTTTCACTGCATGTTACTATGTTTTAAATAATAGTGTGCAATCCTAAGAACGTAAACTAACTAAAGGTTTCTAATGTGAGAGTTTAGTGGGCTCCTGCTTACAGGGTTTACTGTGAACTCTTCACTGAATGTGGTCACATTCCCTAACGTCACTAATTATGTAACGCCAAGTCCCTTAAGAATATCATTAGGTAACCTGCACTTCCCCATCCAGAATCTCCAAGTTAGGGAGTTAATAGTGGGTTAAGAAAGATAATGTGGTTGCTAGAAAGAATAATAGACCAGGATTCAGAAACTGAGCTCTGAAGTGCTGTCATCTCTGTCCAAAGTCACTTAATTCACAGAATTCGTTTCCCTATCTGTAAGATAAATAAATTAGAAAAATTTAAAGCCTCTTTTATGTTTGATATTCTGTAATCTTAAATTAATAGATCTAATTAAATCTAAATTCTAGGAGGAAGATAAACTTTGCATTACAAGCTTTGGCTCAATTCTTATTAATGGTGCAAAAATTTCTTTTTCTTGTGTTGTGACATCAAAAGGAAAATACAAATAAACGAAGAAATAAATGTGTATATGTAAATATTATTTTAAAGTGGAAATAAATGTATATCTGTAAATATTATTTTAAGGTGCTGTATATGTAAATATTATTTTAAGGCCAAGACATTTCACAGGTAATTCAACCCTTCAGGGCTTTGCCAAATACACTTTATGATTTAGCTACAGCAGGTATTTCTTCACTTCTCTTTGTAAATTTTTCTTTAGCCAGATAGCAGAGGGGTTGGAAAAGGTGGGGGAGGGGCTGGCGAGTGCATACTTATATTGCTAAAACTTAAATTTTTATTTTGTAAAGTAAAAAGGTTTCAAATTTCGAGGAGTTTAACTTGTAGTTGGATTTTAGATGCTCCTCTGTCTAACGCTGGACATGAAGAAAAACAGCAAAGCATAGGGAGAGAGATCTATTAAGTCCGATAGAAAAAAACAAACAAACAAACAAAATTTAGATAAAAGAATACTATCACAAAAAAAAGGTGGGGCTAGAGCTGTCGATGGCCTTGAAGATTAGGACACCTACCGAGCCTAAAGTAAACAAGTGATGGCAGGACCTGGAACCCTGGGAAGCCCACGTTCTTGCAGCGGGAAGAGGCACTGGCAGAATGATACGCGGGTGTTATTTGTGTTTTAGGTGTTTTAACATGCGTTCTGCAAGTAAGTGACCTATCTAGGTCATTTGATTCACGCTCAGAAAAAAAACAAAAACAAAAACAAAAACGGCAAATACATATACCTTAATGTTGAGATATTTACACCTTTAAAAAAAGTTATACGTAAGCATCTTTACCAAAAGCATTATATTTTAAGGCAAAAATCTGAACTGTCACAGCATCCACCTCACCGAGTTCAGCAGCCCCTCCGTGGGTCAGGGCTGCTCCTCCAGCGCCGGCTCCCGCACCGCCCACACCGCCCGCACCGCGCGCACCCCGCAGCGCCGGGGCGAGGGCTCCCAGTCTTCAGGTCTCCCAGGGCGCGCGCCTAGGGTCCGGGGGTGGGGGGCGTGGAGGCGGTTCCCTTGGAGCACCCAATCAGCAGCAAGGCCCGGCGGTGGCGCCAGTGACGTAGGCCTCGCTTCCCTCCGCCCCGCTGCGGGCCGACGCTCGGCGCCGTCAGCCACGCGCGCTGGAGCGCGAGGGGAGCGGGAGAAGGAGGGCTTTGAGGCCGACCGGCTGCCGGAGGGCGGCGGGTCGCAGCGAGCGGGGGAGTGGGCATGCGCAGCGGCTCCGGGGACGGCGGGGGAGGAGGGGCCGGGTTGAGAAGCGCGCGCGCGCGCGCGCACGAGCGGCCCGCCGGCGGCTGCGGGTGGAGGGGGCGGTTCCTCGAGTGTCGGCGACCCGAGGGCGGGCAGGCGGGCGGCAGGTGCCGCCGCAGCCTCCGGCCGGTCCCGCGCTTCTTCGTCCTCCGGCGGCGATGAGCTGGGCCCCGTCGGGGGCTGCACCTGCCGGCTGCCCGTCAGCGCCAGGCTCCCGGCGTGACCTCGGCCTCTTCGCGTGTCCGGCCCCCGCGGCGCGGCGCTGCCCCTGAGAGGGAGCGGCGGCGGCCTCCTCCGCCCCGAGTCCTCGCTCGGGGGCCGCGCGGGGACGGCGCCCGGCCCCCTCCCCACCCTCCTCCGTTCGCCGTCCTCAATGTCTCCCCGGCGGGGAGGGGGCTGCCTGGGAGACACGCTGAGCGGCCCCCCAACGGAGGCCCTCCGGCGGCAGCAGCAGCAGCGCCCGGCCCGGCGCCCCGCATCCTCCACCGGCGGCGGCGGCCTGGAGGAGCCGCGCACCCGCCGCCGCCCCCCGAGCCTCGCAGCCGCCGCCGCCGCCAGGCCCCCGAGGAGAGGGAGGCGGGCGCCCCTCGGGGAAGATGAAGGCGGAGGGGGGCGACCACTCCATGATCAACCTGTCGGTGCAGCAGGTCCTGAGCCTCTGGGCCCACGGGACGGTGCTGAGGAACCTCACGGGTAATTGACGCGCCTGGGCTGGGGACTGGGATGCGGTCCGCCCCTCTCCCGTCTTCTCCCTCCCGGGGGACGCGCTCCTCGCCGCCCCACCCCCGTGCGCGCCCCGCTCGGAGCTCCAGGTCCCGGCGAGGAAGGTGTTAATCGGAGCCACTCTGCGCGTGTCCCGGGGACGCCGGCGCCCGCCACCCCCTTCCCTGAGTCCCGGGGGAGCATCTGCGACCCCCGCTCCTGCCCTGCACGGGGAGAGCTCCGGGCGGAGGCCCGGCCTCCGTAGTACGCGCGGAGTAGCTTTAGTGCTGAGACTTGAGCGCAGTTCGCTTTTATTCCATTACCCTCCTCCCCTCCCCCTTCCACACACACAGCGCTTCTTGCTATTTACATCTTTTTCTGATTTAGCTCTTTTTTTTTTCTGGCAAATCTCAAGCCAAATGTAGGACCTAAAATCACTGCCCACAATGGTCGATTTGCTTTTCAACCGTTAATTTTGGGGAGATAGAGATAACTGAGTAGATTATAGTGGGTCAGGGGCTGAGCTGAGGTCTAGTGCAGTCTAAGCGTGTTAGCTTCACATATCTCCTTCCCCTCCCATTTCCTTTTGTCTGTCTGTCTCTTTCCCTCAGGCCTCCAGCTGCTGCTTCTGAGACATTTGATAATTTTGTGTATTTCCCTTCGTTTATTAAGGCTGTCAGGAATTGGCCTTATAACATCAATTTCTATTTGTGAAAGAGACCGATAATACACATAATATTTTAATTCAGTATATAGACTTGCTTTGTGAAGAAACTTCTGGTTTTGTTATTGGAAATGCTTACATTATACTTTGAGTTCTGAATTTACAAATTATTCTCTAAAAGTAGAATTTACGGGAAAGAGAATCAGTTGCGATTTGGTGACTCCCCAGTGCCTGCTTTTCAGAGGAAAATATCTTAAAAATATACTCCGGATTTAATTCTTGAAAATATGTAAGGCAGTTAATTTCAATAGAACATTAGTATTTCAAAATGCATTTTGTCAAACTGGTTAAGAGTGTTACGAGTATTTTACAAATATAACTTGTGTATGTGTGTGTGTGTGTGTATATATATATATATATATATATATATATATATATATAACATATATATAAAGTCTGGCATGGTATAGAATACAGACATTCATAGAAGAAAATTTTATGGAATTATATACCACAAAAGACAACTTTAAGGACACTGGTTTCCTTGAATGGAAACTATACATTTAAAGGATTCTGGATTGCTTCATGCTCTCCTCACTTTTAAGGCTGTGGTTATTTAACTTGAAACAGACTGACTTTTACATGATGATTGCCGGTAAGGAACATATTATTAGAGGTTCTGGAAAACTAAATGGACATAAAGACCGTCTCATGATTCAATTGAATTTAGAGGTAGACTGCTTTATCTTACTTACGATTTTGCTTGCATTTATCCACTGTTTGGTATTTGAACTGTACCAATTTTTGTTGAAGTGAAATGAAAAGTAGGGACTTAACGTATGTTTGTGCCTTAGAATACTGCAGGTTTGGTTTCAGACCACCTCAATAAAGCAAATATTGTAATAAAGTGAGTCACATGAATTTTTTTGGTATCCTAGTGCATATCAAAGTTAGATTTTACATGTCTTTAAATGTGCAATAACATTTACATGAAATGCTGAAAAAAAAAGTACAGACTTCTTAAATTTAAGAATAAGAAACTTTGTTTACTTTATTTCAGCAATGAAGTATTTTTAAATTAACATCTGTACTTTTTTCAGACCAAAAGTACTGAGTAGATTTCAGACCAAAAGTACAGACCTTAATTTAAAAATATGTTATTGCTGAAAAATGCTACTACAGATCATCTCAGCCTTCAGCAGGGTCATTATCTTTTTTCTGACAGAGGGTCTTGTCTCTGTTTTGATGGCTACTGACTGATCAAGGTGGTGATTGCTGGAGATTGGGATGCAGTTTCTTGAAACAACAAGTTTGCCACTAAGGAAGAGCAATAGACTCTTCCTTTCATGAAAGAGTTCTCTGTATCATGTGTTGCTATATGATAGCATTTTACCCACAGTAGAACTTTCAAAATTGGAGTCAGTCGTTTCAAACCCTGCTGCTGCTTTATCAACGGAGTTTATGTAGCAGTCTAAATCCTTTGTTGTCATTTCAGTGGTGTTCACATAATCTTTACCCAGGGTAGATTCCATCTCAAGAAACCACTTTCTTTGCTCATCCCTAAGACGAAACTCGTCATCCATTCAAACTTTATCATGAGATTGTAGCAATTCAATCACATCTTCATGCTTCACTTCTAATTCTAGTCCTCTTGCTATTTCCACCACACGTGTGATTACTTCCTCCACTGAAGTGTTGATCCCCTCAAAGTCATCCATGAAGGGTAGAATCAACTGCATTCCAACTCCTATGAAAGTTGATATTTTTACCTCATGAGTCACGAATGTTCTTAATGGCATCTAGAATGGTGACTCCTCTCCGGAAGGTTTTTCAGTTTCCTTTGCCCAGATCCATCAAAAGAATCACTATCTCTGGCAGTTTTAGCCCTCTTACACAGTGTATTTCTTAAATAATAAGACTAGAAAGGCAAAATTACTCTTTGATCCATGGTCTGTAGAATGGATGTTGTGTTAGCAGGCATGAAAACAACATGGATCTACTTGGACATCTCCATCACAGCTCTTGGTTGACCAGGTACATTGTCAATGGAGAATAATATTCATTAAAATGAAAGGAGTCTTTTTTTTTTTTTTCTGAGCAGTTCTTAACAGTGGGCTTCACATATTCAATAGGCAATGCTATAAACTAATGTACTGTCATCCAGGCTTTTTTGTTTCATTTATAGAGTGCAGGTAGAATAGATTTAGCATAATTCTCAAGGGCGCCAGAATGGTAAATGAGCATTGGCTTTAATATAAAGTCACTAGCTGCATTAGCTCCTAAGAAGAGTCAGCCTGTCCTTTGAAGCTTTGAAGTAAGGCATTGACTTCTCTCTAGCTGTGCAAGTCCTAAATGGCATCTTCTTCTGATACAAGGCTGTTTCATCTACATGGAATATCTGTTTGAGGTAGGTACCTTCATCACTTAGCTAGATCTTTTGGATAATTTGTGCTTCTACATCAGCATTTGCTGCTTTCCCTTGCACTTTTATGTTATGGAGGTGTCTTTTTGTTAAACCTCATGAACCAATGTCTGCTAGTATCAAACTTTCTTTTGCAGCTTCCTCCTGTCTCAGCCTTCATGGAATTGAAGAGTTTTGGGGCCTTTCTCTGGGTTAGGCTTTGGCATAAGGGAATGTTGTAGCTGGTTTCGTCTTTTGTTTAGACCACCCAAACTTTCTCCATATCAGAAATTGGTCTGTTTTGCTTTCTTATCATTTGCGTGTTCACTAGTGTAACACTTTTAATTTCCTTTAAGAACTTTTCTTTGCATTCACATCTTGGCTGTTTGGTGCAAGAGGCCTAGCTTTTAGTCCAGCTCATCTTTGGACATGCCTTTCTCACTATGCTTTATCATCTCTAGCACTTAATTTAAAGTGAAATATCTGACTCTTCCTTTCACTTGAACTTAGATGCCAATGTATGGTTATTAATTGGCCTGATTTCAATATTGTTGTATCTCAGGGAATAAGGAAGCCCGAGGAGAGGAAGAGAGACTGGAGAATGGCTGATTGGTGGAGCAGTGAGAACACACACAAGATTTACTGATTAAGTTCCCTGCCTTATATGGTTGTGGTTTGTTGCAACCCCAAACAGTTATAATGGTAACATCAAAGACCACTTAATCACAGATCACCATAACAGATACAATAATAAAATTTGAAATATTGTGAGAATTACCAGAATGTGAAGTAAAGTCAGCACATGCTGTTGGAAAAATGGTACTGATAGACTTGCTTGACACAGAATTGCCTCAGACTTACCATTTGTAAAAATCAAAATAAAGTAAAGTACAGTAAAGCAAGATATGCCTGTAGATGTTAATGACTGGCTTAGCTCATTGAAGGGTTTTTAAAGAAAGTTAGCTTTGGGAGTCATAAAGTAAATGTAAATGTAACTTAATTCCTGGCCAGCTTCTACAATATTTTTGAATAAGTGAGATTCCAAATATTAAAATTGCCTCCAGTTCCACAAATCAACCATTAAGATGATAATAGTAGTTATCCAGGATTAGCTCCAATTGTCTTTCAGTATGATCTTCATACTTGCCAGGTGCTCATTGGACCTTGCCATTTCATAAAGGATATGCTAAACTAGGACTAAAGTGGGACTGAGGAACATGGGAACCTCTACTAGGAAATAACGACTGTCTGAATATGTAAAATTCTAGGTGTCAGGGTAAAAATGCAGAAAGAAACAATTAGACATAATGTTTCACGAATGGTTGAGTGTGCCACATGTTAGGAACCACATCTCTTCTCAACAGTGACAGTCTATAAGTGATAATATTCTGGATGGGATTAATTGTGGCCCTCTCCATGCCAGTGACCTTAGTGATCTATATGTGTCTTAATCATTAGTCAACAGATGCTGCCTACAGTGCCATTTATAACCTAGTCTACTAAGAAGAGGCGAGTAAACACAACTTGTAAAGCATCTCTCATTTGTTGAATGGCTGGTATGTGTTAGATACTTTACATATATTATTTCTAATCTTCAGAATAACTGTTCAAAGTACATTTAAAAGGAAACTCAGAGAGGTAAATTACAGTGTCCTAAATCTTACAGCTAATAATGACTGAGCTGGGCTTTCGACTCAAGTCTTAGCCACTAGACTCCTTTCTTCTTTACCGTGCTACTTCAACTACTTCTTCCTTACTTTCTTCAAGCAAAATTAATTTCTTGCCTTATCTTGTTACTTCTGCTGTTTGTACATAGTTTTATTATGTTTTTTATTGACACAATTTATATTTGTCTCTTCTAGACTATGAGCTTTTTGAGGGTCAGTCCGTTGTCTCACCTTTGAATCTTGTACCCTAGGATTATGG